AGTAACTGAGTGTGTTTGGAGAAGAGATTTATTATTTTTGATAAATTTTGTTATTTATAATACTTTTTATTATGATGTGATATATTCCTTAAGATAAAAAGATAATTAAAAATGTGTTTCTGATATGATCATATAAAATTTTGTAAATAAAAAATATATCCAAACAAACTAGACTCCAATTAAAAGGTGATTATTCGAAACATTATTTAGATATATAATTGTTAGAGTACTTTTTTTTTTTCGTGATATGGAATATGTGAGATACAAATGTGATTGGAAAGATTAAAAAAAAAAAGAAGGTGTATTGAAATTACTAATTGCTAATCAAACACATTTTTTGAACTACAGCTGAAAAAATCCTCAAGTAATACTTATTGGGTTTGTTTGGAAATTTGACGGATTATTTGGAAAAAGGATTTTGGTTATATCATAAACAAAATTTATATTCCTTTTTTTCTATCGTCTCAATAATTCAATGTAAAATCGCACATTGTGAGAGACTAAAGAAGTGCAAATGTCGAGTGTAAGGGGCTAACTTATATTTTATTTTTCCAATTTCATATAAGTAAGTGAGGTTAAACACAAACTCTTGACTCAATACTAAAAATTCTTGTTATTTATGAAATCGTAAGCCTATCGAGGTGCCCGCGCTACTAAAAGAAGAATATTTATATGAAAGCCAAAAGAAAGTAAAGGCAGGCAGAGAAATTGTTTGGGTGCTGTTGCTGGCAAGCAGAAAAGAAGATGATGATGATGATGATGCCAACTCAGCCAAAAGGTAAAGATATTTTTTACTACAAATCAGTAGTAGTGTATCATTTGATAGAAAGAGATGGCCAACAAGAATACAGCAGCAGTACCACAGTCCATTGATATGTACATGCCTCTGCGCCTCAGCCCCTCCCTCTTGGAACTCTTAAAATAAGTATAGCCCAGAATTGAGTCTGTGGCTGCTCTCTCCCTCTTTCTTCAGCCGGAGACTCCTCCTCCTCCTCCACCCTACAAACTCGCGGAATAAAAATGGTTGCTTTGCTACTGCATCAACCATCTGCAAAATAACCCCCCTCAACTCAACAACTGCAGGGACAAAGAAAGAAAGAAAAAAAAGAGAGCAAGCACTAGTAGACGGACTAGTTTTTAGTGTAGCGCACTTCACTTATTTGAGTTACTACTACCACTACTTCTTCCCTAGTTATTACAGATAAAATTGGTGTGGAGTCGAGACGCCAGAGATTGACTGATTGAAAGAAAGAAGAAATGGTGAGCCCAAAAAGGTGCAGTCTTGCAGAAAGCAGCGTCCCCTGCGATTTCTGCAATGAGCAGACCGCCATTCTCTACTGCCGAGCTGACTCCGCCAAGCTCTGCTTGCTCTGCGACCACCACGTCCACTCCGCCAACGCCCTCTCCCGCAAGCACCTCCGCTCCCAGATCTGCGACAACTGTGCCTCCGAGCCCGTCTCCGTCCGCTGCGCCACCGACAACCTCGTCCTCTGCCAGGACTGCGACTGGGATGCCCACGCCACCTCTGCCGTCTCCGCCGCCCACGATCGCATCCCTCTTGACTCCTTTTCTGGCTGCCCTTCTGCCCTTGAGCTTGCCTCCGCTTGGGGCCTCGAACTTCAGGATAAAAAGCCCTCCCAACCCCCCAATTGGTTTGACGTGGCTCCCACTGCCCCTACTGCCGGTGGGTTTCTGGACTCGTCCTGGACGCTGCCCAAGGAAGTTTCTGTTTCCCCTTCGGTTCTGTTGCAGGACTTGATGGTCCCCACTGATAATAACAATCCTTCTTCTGCTGTTATCTTTTCCAATTGCGGCCCCGATTTGATGAAGAAGCATACTTCCCCTAGCTGTGGGAAGCAGAGGCTGGTGATTATGAAGCAGTTGATGGGGTTGCTTGAGAGGGATATGGGGGACGGCGGCGGCGGCGGCGGCGGCGAGGAATTGGGACCTGGTACGCCTAATACCAGTGGTGGCGGTTGTTGTGGGGTTTGGCAGGGAAATGAGGAGGTCCGCGGATTGGGAAATGGTGGTGATGGGGTTGTGGGCATTGTGAATCAGCAGTTTCAGCCTCAGCAGCATCAGCGGCAACAAGAACAACAGAATGCTCCATTCATGTCCTTGCTTATGATGCAGACGCCGGCCATTCCCAAGGAGCGTGATCGGACGGTGGCAAGGAACATGTGGACCACCACTGCTTGTGAACCATCCACTCAGGTTTTATTTCTCACAACCTTGCGTCTTACTCTTAATAAGTTAGTATGATACTTTCTGTACATCTTCCGCTTTAAATGAATTGTGTAATGTCTCTGTCTTTCTTCCTATTTGTTGCTACTATCTTATTTGCCTTTGTAAATCAATACACTCTAACTAAATTGTAACCCAATTCAAATTCCGAATAGTAAAATTTAGTTTTGTTCTGGTGATGTTTATGTGTAGACGGGAGAGGTCCGGATGTTCAATTTTGGTGTTCATGGCACGTCAAATTTCTGGTAGTTAACAGCCTTCTTTAACAGCTATAATGTAGTAACTGATTATTCATCTCTAGGAAGCAAACTGTTAGTACCATTGTAGCTTTTGAAGATCTTTCTTTCTTTCTTTTTCTTTTTATTTCTTTTGGCTTGTTGAGAGGGTTTGAGAATTTAGATTTTTATTTTCTTGGTGCTTTATCATCTAATTTAGTTCCTCAATTTAATGAAAAATAGGTAGGCTTTGTATTGAAAGTGATGCTGAATTAGATTCAGATGTTAAAGGTTACTTTTTGCCCTTGTGTGGTTATGGCATGTGTATAATATTGCAAAGAAATTTATGGGATAGGCAAACATGTCTTGTCCAGAGACTCTCTCTCTCTCTCTCTCCCCCCCCCCCCAAAAAAAACCACACAAATGTCTTTTTTGTGGTTATAGGCATCATGTCTTTTTTTTTCCCCATTTTATTTGCTTTTCTCTTTATTCTAATCGGATGAAGTTAGTCACTCAAATCAGAAGTGATGGATGCCAGTAACTTTCTTCACACCATTTTATCAACCTGCTCCCTTAAAATCATACATTTTGGATGTTTCACGCCCCTGCTTGTGAGTCAACATAGTCTTCTATATCAGCATTATTGGAAGCCAAATGGTAATATAAGCTGCTGGATTGCCAGAAAAGTCCTGGGATTAGCAATATATTTTTCAACTTAGGGTGGGATTCTCCTTTTCTTTTTTTTTCTTTTCTCAGCAAGAGTTATTTGTATTCTTGAGAATAAACATGTTTTATTCCAGAAAAGTGAATTAGTATGTAATGATACTGCTCTTGTTCTTGAGTCCAGGAGCTTAGTTTAATATGATGAACAAATAACCTATTGTTGCATAAGTGCCTGTTGTTTTCTTCCTTCTTAATTGTTTGGTTTCCTTTGCATTTCCTTCAAGTATGCTTTTCTGTTACTATTTTGTCCAACCTAGAATGAAGTTTTTTAGCACATGACTTGTAACTGTAAAATTTTGCTGCAAGCAGATATGGGATTTTAATTTAGGACAGCTGAGGGGCAATGATGAATCTAATACACTGGAAGTAGGCTACAGTGCTAATGAAGTGGGATTTATGATGAAAAGTTATAGTGAACTTCTAAAAGAACCGTCCTCAGCAACTACAAGAGGATTAGAACTGTCTGGATTGAACTGCTCGATTGTAAACGAGGATATGGCAGCATTCAACGTAAGTCAAATTGCTTGGGGAAATATGTGGATTTTTTACTTTAGTTGTTGTGTTCATCGAGTCTTGCCTAGCAACCGGATTTTTAAAAATTCAAAGGCTTTGATTTGCTTTTGACTTGATCTCATTTGTAGTTGCATGGCTTTCTCTATGCAAGGCAAATCACCCAGATCCAAAAGCTTGTACTGCTAGATGCATTACATGACTTATGTGCTACGTGATTTATCAGTCTGCTAAATCATGTAGCACTTAAGATATATGCTGCATCCACCAACCAAAGATTTTGGATCAGGCTGATCTTGACGAAGAAACATATGCCCTTTTTTTTGGGGGGGAATTAAGTTAGTCAAACTCTTGGGCACGGAAGCTTTTCAGACTGAAGATGTCTTAATGACTGGGATTTGTGAGGATATGCACTAAAAGCTTTTGGATTTTTTACTTGGAGGAGAGCACAATGGCTCAGTGGAACTTTTGTGCTTGTAATATGCTCTGTTGATCAATATGTCCTTAGTTTGCACATCTAATCTGATATTAGTTACATTTCCCCTTCTTAATTGACTAACTTTTTATCCCTTACAACACAGAACTCTAATAATCCTACAGCAAGCCAGGGGCCAGCGACATCAGAGAGCAACAATTTACCAATAGGAAGGGCAACATCAGGTTCAGGTTTGGGTAAACGTAAATGCTATGGTGGTCTGAAAGATGTCCATCTCATGGAACAAACTGTTCTGGTGAAAAGTGAAAGCACGACAGCTGCAGCAGCCAAGGTTGATATGGAGCTATTGGCGAAGAATAGAGGTAATGCAATGCAACGCTACAAGGAGAAAAAGAAAACGAGAAGGTGCTTTCATCCCCCTTGTTTTCTCTTTTTAACTTGTTTCTTCAGTGGCAGCTCTATTTGCCAAGAAAACAGAAATTCATTTGCATTTTCTCGTGTCTATGTCTTACTAGATATGATAAGCACATCCGGTATGAATCAAGGAAAGCAAGAGCTGATACTAGAAAGCGAGTTAAAGGTCGGTTTGTTAAGGCTAGTGATGCTCCTGATGGATAACTTTATTTTGAATGACTTGTTGAGGCTTAGCACGTCTTTTGGAGTATGTATAAAACCTTGTTCTCCTATAAAATGATAATTTTGTGTAGCTGTCTGCCTTTCTACTGGACCCAATGATTTCTTTGATTTCTCAAGCTCTCTCTCTCTCTCTCTCACTCACTCTCTCTCATGCATCCATTGATGTAAGAGGAATGGAGAGTCTCATGGATTGCACTCCAGCAGTTACGCATCACATATATGTGGTAATCTCTATTTCATTTCAAGTGAATTGTCTTTTGGGCTGGTAAAACATTGATCACTATGCAGGTTAAGAGGCTTTGTCAGAAGCCTGCACCACATAACCTTTCTTGATTATGACTTCTCCACATCTGATTGTTAATTGTTAATAACGTTAGAACTATAGGTGCACACGAAGACAAATGGGAGGGAGGCTTGACTGGGGTTCCTTATCAGTGACTCTGGTTGAATTTTCTTTGATGCTTTGTCTCACTCCTAGAGACACTGTCCATTTACATTTCAAACAGGGGTTTAGATCAGTCCATCATCGTGTTCAGTTACTTATTGAGCATTTTCAAGCCTTTGACGAATCTTGAACTTAAAATCAACCTGCAAGGCACAGCCAGGCGCGCGCGCGCGCACCCTGGGGGAAAATTCGGATGAAAGACGTTACTTTTATGGGCCATGTACGGCTCACGGGGTCCCAGCTGAGGCGTTAAGATAAATGAGTAATATCAGTGTGTAAATTTTCCCAGGATACTTAGTTGAATTATTTGGTTAAATGGTTTCCACATTTTGGTGCATAGTTGAAAAGAGTGTATTTCTGGTTGGCTTACGGGTGATGTATTAAGTGTGATGATTTTGAGTTTGGTCATCAATGGTAAAGCACTCAACAAACAGATGTAATGAGACTTTAAAGCTCGGGATGGAGAACTCGTGAGACCCGCTCCTTTATCATGTGAAAGCTTTTAAGGCCATCCTGAGTGGAAAAAAGGTCACAGTCACCGCTTTCTATTGATTCAAATCACGACGCTGTTGTCCATGGCTCTCCTCCAACTTAACTTCAGCTGTGATCTTGCATGACAACATTTTAAGCCCATGAAATCTCTCAATGGTTCTTTGTAGCCGCGGCTGGAAGGCATGAAGGATTTGTCCTTCTTTCTCCTCAAGAATGCTTTGGGTGCTAAGATGAGGAAAGGCTTTAAACACTTTTGCAGCGGTGACGGATCAACTTCCACCCTTAATCAGCAAAAAATGGGGCAGGGTTCGGCATATATTGATACCCCGTATTTGGATGCTGTCACTTCCGGTTCCAGGGAAAGGCAACCAACCTTGGAGGAGATGATACTGCAGTTAGAGCTGGAAGAGGCAGCCTCAAGAAGAGCAAAAGTTGATGAATATGGGGAGTACCGGCATCACCGCATGTCTTGTGTCAACAGTTCCGACATTCTGCGGAGTGCAAGAAACGCATTAAATCAGTACCCTCGGTTTTCTCTGGATGGAAAAGATGCCATGTACAGATCTTCATTTCGGAACATGGTGCCCCTCAGCACGGGTGCAAGAAACTCGCTCGGCTGCCATCAGGGATCAAGGAAAGGTTTGTGTGGCGATGGTTTCGACTCAGAAGTGCAGAAATTACGAGAGCTGCCGGCTACAATAGGTGGAGAGAGCGTGGTGTGGTGTAGGCCTGGAGTGGTGGCTAAATTGATGGGTCTGGAGGCCATGCCAATCCCAGTTCAGAGACATCAAAGAACGGGTAACGGGCTGAATGGTAATGGTGCAAAGACGAGGCAAAATCTGAGGAAGAGCGCTGGAAAACTTCATGAGATTGAAAGGAGAAGGGTGGTAGTAGATGATACCAACGGTTGCAGCGCGATGAGGAGCGGGGTGACAGGTTGTTGCTCAAGCTCAAGCAAGGGATACTGTGTGATGAAGCCATTAGGCGTGGAGCTTCCAAATGAACAATTTGGCTGGCCAATGCGGCGCTTGCGGCAGAATGCCACCTCTCCTTGTTAGTGTCTCTACGTCTGCACCTTGGATTGGAGGGAGACCGTTCGCTTTCCTCATACCTCCCAAAACCAATACAGAGATTTTTTAGCAAATTGGTTTGGCATCTTCCCATGAAACGTCCCCCCCCCCCCCCCGGTTAATCACTTCTTTTCTGCTCTCTCATTCTTTCCTTAAATCAAATGTATACGTGCGTGTGTGAGGTAGTAGGGGCACCAAAGAGACGTATGGATCGTCTGTCGTAGTGAGGACTCCACAAACATTATCCAAACCAAATAGGCAGGATTGGATTGGATGAAGGAAACCCGAGAGAGGCAGAGGCACGCATGTTTTGTAGGAGCGTGCTGGATTTCTGCTGTGGTGTAATACTACTACTACTCTAGTTGCATGTGAAGTCGTTCCCGTTTCCACACAGTGCTGCTTATTTTTTTTTTTTCTACTTCTTCTTTTACATTTTTTTTTTCGGCCGGGGGGAGGGAATCAATTAACGGAAATCAATATTCACGTTTAAGTGGATGTGGGCAACGGGTTGGCCGGGAGATATTTATTCATTTTGATGACTGACCGACCGCTGCGCAGAGGATAATGGCCTGGCTGAACAAAGAACGCGGCTGGATATTTATTATTTAATAATAGAGAGTTTAAAACCCACCCGTTAATCGCCTCACACCTCTGTTGTTTGATACTACAGTAAATAAAACTGCACGCACCACCAAAAAAAAAAAAAAAAAAAAAAAAAAAAAGCACAGTCGGAAGATGGACCTCTGCTCTTACCTACCACCGTAATATAATGGATTAGGATTCCCAGCAGCAGTTACTTTGGGGCTGCTTCAGAGCTTTGCCAAGTTTATTTGCTACAAAATTTTTAAAAACTTTAATTATAGTAATCTCAAAAATTTCTCAAAATTTTTAAACTACACACTTCAAAATATTCAAAAATTTACGCACTTCAAAATTTTTTAAAAAAACTTCTATAGTAAGATACAGTAAAATTTTAGATAAAAATCCAAAAAACTCACTTGTCAAACCGGGGCAACATTCGTAGCAGCACTTTTGTGAAGAGAATAAATGTTTGTTTAATTCCAACGGCACCACTCGTGACTTCTTGAGGCAGCAACAATTGACACCAGCTGAGCTGGGCTGAAGAATTGCACGCTTCGATGGGCCTTCTGTCCATTTTCCCAACGTCAGTCAAATCCATGGGCCATGGACACCAGCAACAATTGACTTTTCTATTTGAACTTTGGTCTACTCTTCCTTCTAACAAAAAAAAAAAAAAAATTTGGCCTACTCTAAACCAAAATGTTTACTCTTGACTACAGGCAGTCACGAGGGTAAGAAATTAATTGACAAAGGAAACAACGGACTCAGAAAAATTGTTTTGACAAATGCAATCTTATCCTTACCGTCCAAATCTTACACCTCCATCAATGATCAAACCTAGCAAGCAAATTATCAATATGTCGAATTTACAATGGAAGTGATGACAATTAGCAATAAACACTCCATCCTAATCTCCCTTTCCCCAAACAAAATTAAGTTATCATTTTTATATTCTCTAAGTTATCATGTTTAGGGTTTAGAGTATCATTCCAAATAATTATTATAGTACTTTTTATGATGTGATGCATACCAGATAAAAAGACAATTAGAAATATAAAAAGATTGATTCAAAAATATATTTATAATACAAGCGAAAATTTTTTTTTAAGAAATTTACTATCCAAACATAATCATTTTTAAATTTGCCCAGGAAATTATCTGACCACTAGAAACAAACAACAAATCCAATTGGTGTGCAATGATTACGAATTTGACAAAGATAAGAGCGGGAACTTGTTCCCTTTTGTGAAAACACGGAGGCCTGAACTAATAATTGAAACCAAAAGATCCACCTTTTTATTTTTTATTTTTCAACGAGAAGCATCAATGGTCAAATATAGTCAAATGTGGCTTTGGGATACGAGAGTGTTTGGAAGGTTCATTTTTGTTAAATAAATTTTTTATTTGTATTGTAAATATATTTTTTAATTATTTTTTTATTTTATATATATCACGTTACAAACAAAGGATAATCTCATAAACATTCCTTGAGATTTCTGACAGGCACCCCTGAGGTTCTCAAAATTTCACTGACCTCTCTTGATAGAAAATTGGGCCCCTTTGCTGACATCATGAAGGTCAAAATTACAAATATATCCTATGAAGTTGGGTTTTATTACTAAAGATGGAGTGTATTACTACCGTTTAGTTGGAGAAAAAGACATCTAAAGTGATTAATCAAGCTTAACAACAATAACACAAACTTGATGCCTAATACATGAATTAAAGCTGGATTAGAGAGTAAGGCACCATTTTTGTGCCTGCTGTGAATATTTAATGTTTTTAAGTAAAATTCAAAAAATGTTACAGTAACTTCTTACGAAAAAATTAGTAGGTTATCTATTTAACATAAATTATATATTTTTTAAAAAAGAAATATCCCATAAAGTACCAACTCTTTATGGCTACCAGATTTTATGGGCATTTTATTCTGAATCATTTAATTTATATTAAGTTCATAAATATTTGCAAATAAAATTCAAAAGCCGTTACACAAGTATTTTTACGAATGGAAAAGTAGCATGTTTTGTATTTAATATAAATGAAGTATTTTTGAAAGTAAAAAAAAAATTCCATAACATACAAGTTCTTTACGAGTTTCTTCCATTGTATAGATAAAGTACTAGTTATTTATGAGCAATTTAATTTGCATCATTTAATTTATATTAAATACATAAATGCTTATAAGTGAAATTCAAAAATTGTTACACTAATATTATTACGAAATGGAAACTACTATGTTTTGTATTTAATATAAATTAAATACGTGAAAGTAAAAAAATAAATTACCCACTTTTTACTAGTTCTTTACGAATTTCTTCTATTATTTGAATAAAGTACTAACTATTTATAGGTATTTTACTCTGAATCATTTATTTTATATTAAATATAAAGATGTTTGTAAGTAAAATTCAAAAAGTATTACATTCATATTTTTACGAAAGAGAAACTGGTAGGTTCTGTATTTAACAAAAACTAATTATGTGAAAGTAATACTCGCAGGTAATTTAATTAGTTACTTAAGTTATGTTAAATAGATAACATACTAGTTGATTTAAGATTTATGAACACCGGCATTTTCCCTGGCACATCTAGTGCTTGCAATTTTTTGTATTGTACTTACACCCCCTCAACTTTAGTAATCATTCTGATAATTTATTATTCTCTCAATCTTCTACTAATACAAGGAGCAAAGGGGCAGCCATGGAATTAAAATTCCTTCTCACACATGAAAATAATATTGTAATCAGATTTGGACTGCATTGTTGCCAAAAACTCAAAAGCAAGGGAGGTCAGTGAAATTTTGAGAACCTCAAAGGGTACCAGTGAAAATGTTAGAAACCTCAGGGGGTCTGAAATTATCCCTACAAAAAAATATTAGAGTGATTATTTCAAATAATACCTTGTCCAATACAAAACAAAATGACTTACCTTCTTAACTTCCAAAGTGAAATACCATACCATTCGTAATCCGTAATGTAATAAAGAGTGCACTGTTTCATTTTTTATTTTTTTTCTTTTTCCCCTTTCTCACTCAAGACTTCCTAATATACTTCATGCATATTTCCTTCCCCTAACCCCTCTTTTATGTTTCAGTAGTCTTAGGCTCCATTTGATAACACTGAATTTGAATTCTGAACTCTGAACTCTGAATACTGAAATAATTAATTTGCTGAATTTTAAGTACTGAAAAGAGATATATGAATGTCTAAATCTTAATAATGAATCTATTTATATTGTTTGATAAATATTCATAACTTAATGCTTAATAAGCTAAATTGTACAATTTTGCCCTTCTATCTTTTAATCCAAAAAGGAAATAGAACCTATGATTTAATTAACTTAAAATTGTTAGGTATGAAAATGACAATGATTGTGAAGAGCAATGCATACAATGACATGTTTCTTTGTGTGGGAAAAGGGTATGGTTTCATCGTTTTGAGAATGGAAAAACGAGCTTTTAATACTCCAAAAGCACGTTCAATTACATTTCTCAATCTTGCATGTGTTTGGTTTAAAACATTTTTCTTTTGATCTTGGACGAGAAGTATTTCGAAAATCAGACAACCAATATCTAATATTTCGATATGGTGTCATAAAACCACGTGTGTATGGATAAGCTGCATCACATAAATAATATTTATCTGCAAAAAAAAAAATCAAAATATAAATGTTTGTGGATGAAAATTACTGCAAAAAAATATTATTGTTAAAAAAAATTTTTGAATAGAGAATATCAGATTGTTTTGTTTAATTAAATAAGGATTTTGAATAGGGAATATTAGGTTGTTTAATTAAATAAGAATTTTGAATGTAATTAACAAATAGGGATATATTTGGTAGATAAGATAAAGTAGTTGAAGTAAATCTCTTGACTCTTATCAAATTAAGCATTCAGCTACGATTCTTGTGCTGAAAAAAATACATACAAATTCAGCACCACTTAATAAGTTCAGCAGGTGAATTTTTATTTATCAAATACCCACAACATCTGAATGTCTGAATGAATTCAGTTTCAGCACTTTTTTATGTTATCAAACAGGCATTTAGTCCAAAGTGGTGAGCTTGGTCCAAGCATTCATAGAGGAATACACATAATCAGTTTCAACACCACTTTGTATTGGACTCCTACTGTTGAATCCTTTGGATCTGGCACGTAATAGCATTTATAGAGGAGGAGGAGGAGGAGGAAGAAGAAGAAGAAGAAGAGGAGGAAGAGGAGGAGGAAGAAGAAGAAGAAGAAGAAGAAGGAGGAGAAGGAGGAGGAGGAGGAGGAGGAGGATTCTCCAATTCAAAATTTCCCAGTTCTGCAATTCATGCATGCATGCAGTCGCGCATGGTGGGCCTTAAAACAGCCATTGATTAGATCTGTTACGAACTTGATCGAGAGGTCAACCGTCAATGATGCTTTAGTCTGCTAATGTGATCCATTCCTGGCCTGTCTTCCCTAGGAAGTGACTGATGGTACTTGATTGATGGCATGGCCCCCATTACACATGGGAAGCCATTTATTATTCGTTAATAAAGCAGAGCAAGAAGGCTTTTTCAATGGTTTACCTTTTTCAAAATCTTCTACTATATCAACGCAGTTTTGTCCAAAAGCTGAATAGTAGAAGAAGCTCTTCCTAGTGCTCAGATTAGTCAATTGTCGCTTCTTTTAAGAGAAAGGTGGCGAGATTTTTAGCTCTTCCCAGTTGTTAGATTTCTTAATGGACTGCAAGTTCTTCGGGCAGCCTGCCCCCACCTCTCTCATGTCTTCAGTCTCCACCCCGTCCATCTTGGTGGCTTTTGATCATAACCATGGTGGTT